TCTGCAGTTGCTTCCAGCATACCCCAATCTCAGGACAGTGCCAGGTTAATGCAGTTGGTTAAAATGTGGCAGTATGTCCATAATTATTTCTCATGTGAATCACTTGGCTTGGCTGTGCAGAAAAGAATGCCTTCAGTGTTAGTCTGAACTTTTGAGGCCAGCAGTCTGGAAAGTCTATGCCTTTGATTATTGAGATTTGGAGATTTCTAAAGATCTATTATTGACTTCCATTTTTATTACATTGTGGTTGGAGAATAATACTCTATACGATTTTAATCCTTATAACTTGAGACTTCTAACCCAGAAAATGATCTTTCTTGGCACATGTTCAATATGCATGAATATGGGACATCTCTCCATTTATTTAGCGTTCATTTCAGCAATGTTTTGTCACTTTAGAGCACAGCTCTTGTACGTGTTTCATTAAATGCATTCCTAGGTGTTTATAATACAGATGCTCCTCAACTTATATAACGAGGTTATGTCTGAATAAACCCATCCTAAATGAAAAATACTGTAAATTGCAGGTGGGTTTTCCACTTAATATTTTCAGCTTATGATGAGTTTATCTGGATGTGACCTCATTGTAACCTGAGGAGCATTCTGAATGCCTATCACTTTCACATTATTATAAAGTAACAAAATCCTAAGTCAAACCCTCCCAAGTCAGGGATCATCTGTACTATTATAAATGGCGTATTTTAACATTTCTATTTTCCAATTGCTGCTTAGTAGTATATATTTTTTATATATACTGAGCTTTTACCCTATGACTTCAACATCTAGTAGATGTTGATGATTTTCCACATGGACAGTATACAAAAACAATTTATGTAGCAGCTTCGAAAAACAGATTTTCTACATAGACCACTGTGAATAAACAGTTTTGCACTTTTCTAATATTTATCTTTCATTAATTATTTATTGTACTGTCTAGAACTTCTGATACAAAGTTGAATAGAAGTGGTGAGAGCAGAAAGCTTCACCTTGTTCCCAATCCTAGGATTGGATATTTCACCATTAAGTGTAATAGCTATTGATATTTCACAGAGATCCTTTATAAATTCTTTTGTTTCTAGTTTTGTGATTGTTGTCATCATGAGTTGGCAATAAATTGTGTCAAATGCTTTTTCTGCCATTATTAAGATTTTCTCCTGTATTAATGTTGTAAATTATTGTTTATTAATATTGGGCAAATCTTGCATTCTGGATAAGCCACAACTGGCCATTGTATTTTACTTTTTTCTGGGTTCAATTTGCAAGTATTTTCTATAGGAATTTTGCATCCGTATTAGTGAGTAATATTAGTTTGTGATTTTTTTCCTCTAATGTCTGTTAGATTTTTCTGAGGGTTCTGCTTTAAATATTCCTTTCTCCTCTATTTTCTGAGTTTATATAAAATTGATATTGTGTGTTCTTTAAAGACTTGATAGAATTCATTAACAGGCATGAGGTTTTGTTATTTCTTAATTATGAATTCAAATTCTGTAACAGATGTGTAAGTACTGAGATTTTCCATTTCTTCTTCAGTGTTTTGATAATTTTTTTTTTTTTTCATTTTTTTTCTTGAGACAGAGTCTCACTGTCATCCAGGCTGGAGTGCAGTGGTGCGATCTCAGCTCACTGCAATTTCTGCCTCCCAAGTTCAAGCTATTCTCCTACCTCAGCCTACCACGTAGCTGGGATTACAGGTGTGTGCCACCATGCTCGGCTAATTTTTGTAGAGACGGGGTTTCTACAAGTTGGCCCAGCTGGTCTCAAACTCCTGACCTCAAGTGGTCTGCCCACCTCAGCCTCCCAAATTGCTGAGATTACAGGTGTTAGCCAGCACACTAGCCCCCAAAACTTTTTATTCTAAGTTATCAGATTCTATTGTTATGAACTTGTTATAATATTCTCCCTTTATGGTTTTAATTAGTATTTTTCAGTCTCAGCACTATTGACATTGGAGCCAACAAATTGCTGTCGGGAATTGCCTCGTGCACTGCAGAATTTTCAGCTGTTTCCCTGGTCTCTGCCTTCTGATAGCAGACTCTCCAACCGTGAAAACCAAAAATGCCTCTGGACATCGACAAATGTTCCCTGGGGACAAAAAAGCCCCTGGTTGAGAGCCGTGTTTCAATGTCTGTAGAATCTTTAGTGTTATTTCATTCCAGATGGTGTTAATTTGTCTATTTTTTAAATGAGTTTTTTTCTAGAGTTTTTACACTGTTCAAAAAAAGACTATGCACTGGACTTGGCCTGTGGACCACAGTTTGCTGATTCTTGATCACTGATTTTTTTTCTTCTTTTCTAATAAAGGCATGAAAAAACTATCAATTTCCCTCTGAGAATAGTTGTATTTTATCAACTCTGAACTGTTGTATTGATGATATTAGCCAAATAATGGTTATGGAGAGTGTTTATGAAGATAAAGTGAGCTTGACTGAGTGTTAGTCCAATAAAAGAGCTTACAGATGGACTTTTGGATCTGTGAGAGATGAGCAATGAAAAACAATATTAATATAAGTACTTTCTCAACTAGTTGAGACATTAACAAAAGCTTCCATAATCTGGCACCAATTCTTTTGGCTCCTATCCCTAAAAAAAGCCAGTCTGCAACATCCAAAACATTTACCAAGACAAGGAAATTGCAATGATTTTACTGTACCTTATCCGGTATTAATTTGCTGCCACCTGCTGGGAGGCAGAAATGGGTTTCCAGCATTGCTAGCTACAATTTGTCCCCAACTATTTATTTTGAAAAATTTCAAATTTTAGAAAAGTTTAAAAAACATTCATATACTATTCACCTGAAACTACCAGCTATTATGTTGGGGACTGGTGTCTCACTGTTGCCCAAGCTGGAGTGCAGTGGCACCATCTCAGCTCGCTGCAACCTCCACCACCTAAGTTCAAGAAATTCTCCTGCTTCAGCCTCTGGAGTAGCTGGGACTACAGTCATGCACCACCACAACTGGCTAATTTTTGAATTCCTGACTTCAAATGATCCACCCACCTCAGCCTCCCAAAGTACTGGGATTACAGGTGTGAGCCACCATGCCCAGCCGAAACTACCAACTGTGAACATAGGGCTTTATATTCTCTCCTTCCATGTTTTTGTTTTGCTTTGGTCTGGACTATCTGCAATAAATTTGCGGACATCACGATTCATTCCTAAATACTTGGACATGTATCTCCTGAGAACAAAAGAATTCTTCTAATAACCACAATACCATTATCATTCCTGAGAAATTTAAGTCAACAATATGTCACGCTTCCAGGTTTTTTGTTTTGTTGTGTTTTTTGAGATAGAGTCTAGCTCTTATCCCCTAGGCTGGAGTGCAGTGGCACGATCTTGCCTCTCTGCAACCTATGCCTCCCGGGTTCAAGCGATTCTTCTGTCTCAGCCTCCTGAGTAGCTGAGACTACAGGCATGTGCCACCACACCTAGCTAATTTTTTAATTTTTAGTAGAGAGGGTGTTTCACCATGTTGGCCAGGATGGTCCCGATTTCTTGACCTTGAGATCCGCCGGCCTCGGCCTCCCAAAGTGCTGGGATTGCAGGCGTGAGCCACCGTGCCCAGCCCAGGTTCAAACTGTTTTAAATCCTTAATGCTATCTAGTTGACAGCTGTCTCTAATGTACAACAGTCCTCCTGCCTTTTTTCACATTAACCGTATTGAAAGGCCCAAACAAATCACATTCTGAGTTTATCTGAGTGTTTTCTCACAATCAGATTCAGGTTAAACATTTTTAGCAAGAGTACTACACAGGTGTACTTTCCTTAGCCTCATAATGGCAAGTTCCTATTTTCGCCAGTATTGGTGATGTCAGCATTTTTTTCCCCAAGAAGCATTATTAACATTTTGCAAAAGACTATTGTTCCATGGAAATGTGTTCCCTAACCTGTGTTGTTTAGGAAACATCTGAATAAAAAAGTGTTATGAACGAAAATGTTTTAGAATTTGTAGAATGAAAACCAGGTAAGGATTAAGTCGGTTTTAAAATTAACAAACTTCTTCATTTCTAAGATAGCACAAACTGAGCTTTCATGAAACGTAACCCTTACCAAAACAACACAACTGTCCAGACGAGCAATGACAAGTTTAAAGAAACGAAACAAACCATCTCAAGAACTGTCATTCTGTTTGTGTTCGATAGCTGAAATTTGAAAGGTCTAATTTTACGTTCTTTCCACTAGATCCTTGGCTTTATTTAGACTTGTGCTTAATTTTCTGTCATTGACTACTGAATCTACAATCACTCTTTGGATTGTGGTAGTCTTTTAGGCCAAATAATGAAAACGGTGAGACCAGTAATTCATTTTTTATTATTCTATATTAAGAATCAACCTGTATCAAATAGCTGCAAAGGCCTAAAGTCTCCCAAATACATGTCATTATGAAAATTGTGTGTAAGGACTGACATCTTGGTTCCATATACTAATTATACTGCCTGGCCCCCATTTATAACCATATCGACTTGTCGTAATTTGATCCTGGCTACTGCCTATGGATGCTATCTTTATCACATTATAGCAAACATTTGGGAGATTTAGTTTTTCTTAAAAATCCTAGAAGAGCATACAACGGCTTTGCTACTTATTACGTCATCCAAGAGGCTTTTTAAAAATGAGTTGCCATTCCGCCCACGCAGGGAGGTAGCAAATACGCCTATTTTCATCTCCGTTTCAGGCTAGCGCCTTTCCCCCCTCGGGAGACTTCCAGAGGACATCCCTGCAGCAGTGAGCCGGAGTCCTAGCTTCGGGTGCATGTTAAGTAATATTAATCAATATGAATGGGTGCCTTTCAAGAGAAAAAACGGTGGGTCCTTCAGCCTTTTAAAACCATGCCACGGTTTAAAAACTTAAAACTATATTCTGGTGGAACGCTGAGCATTTCTTCAAATCACCGTGAGAGCTTTTCCTGAATACCACCGGTCTGTCAAACGTAACGCGTCTCTCCCCCACCCCACCTTTTAAGCTTCCAGGGAGCGGAAGAAGGGGCTCTGAGTGTCCCTGCTGCTACAGGCCGCTGGGGGTGACGGCAGGACTTGGCCTCCGTCCGACTCCAGCGCGTCGCGAAGGCCGGGACGGAACGCACGTTACCCTCGAACTTCGGGGGCGAAAGAGTCCACAGGACCTAAGAGGGGCAAAACCTACTCTAAAGGCCGTAACCACCCTCCCCTCCCCCGCCAGAGAACTTTCCGGCAGCGCCGTGGGCCGCCGCAAGCCGGGAGACCTTCACGCTCACGCGCTCCCAGCCACACGCCGGAACTGCGCGGCCACGTCCGCGGGGACCCAGGCCGTGCCCCGCACCGCCGCCTGGCCCCAGGCGATCCCCGGGCCCCACGCGCCGGCAGACGGCGCTGCGCCTGCGAGGAAGGATCCGGCGGAAGGGGCGGGGTCAGGCGGCACTTCCGTGGCTTCGGGCGGGTGAGTACACAAGTACGCGCGGCGTCCGGCAGTGGGGACTGGGCTCCCGCCTGCGGCTGCCCTCCCGCGGGGGGCCAGTCCGGCCCTCCGGGGCGCCCCCTGGAGGATTTGGGGTGGGGGAAGCAAAGGAGAGTATTACCGAATATTCTCCTAGGGGCGCGGGATGTTGTGTGCACAGGCTGGCGTCGGCAAATGGGTTCAAATGGAAGGTTCAACAGAGAAGGCCCTGTACATAAACAGTGTTTTATGATTCTTGTTTTGGACAGGTTTCTCAGGTTATCTTTGAGCTACAGCAAGGAAGCTTTGTTAAGGTGGCTCATGCCTTGTCGCTGCCAAACCCGGTGAATGGTTAACCCAAGGCCGCGTCAGAGAAAGCCACTGTGACTCCTACCAAAGAGTGAATTAAAACTCTTTTCGGGGACTAAAAATCCGGGATACGAAAGTAGAATTCAAACTAAAAGTTAGGAACAGTATCTAGGTTCTGTCACCTCCTGTGCGGGGCAGGGGCTAAATCTTTTTCAGCAGAGGACATGCTGCCTTCGTATTTCTCATTAGAAAATGAAAGGCAACATAAACCAAAATAATCTGATAAAATTTTTTGTATTTATTACCTGTCTTGAGAGTTGTACCCTAATCCATATGTTTTGAAAACATAAACTGATAAAACTTCTCCAAGTTGGTAGAAAGCCAGAAGTTTCCCAAAAAACTGTGTGGATTATTCAGCATTTTGGGATGTCTACAATGCTCAGAATATTCCTTTTCAGTGATTTTACACTACTGTTTTGTTCAGGGTAACGAGATTTTTAAAAGTCAAAGACGGGACAGGTTTTTAAAGGGCTGTATCCTATTAGGAGAGAGAAAACAAGCATGAAAAGTTACATAACCATAAGAAATGTAAATCACCATTTGAGATATTTGAAGATATCAAAACCTTTATTTAGAATGGAAAGAGCTGGGGCTTGAAACAGTTACCATTCAGCTGATTGTTGCCATGTGGGAATGGCGGGGTCCCTCAAATCCAGATCCTATTTCCTCCAACACAGGCCAAAGATCTGTATTTTTACATGATTTTTCTTGATTTTTAATGTTACTTGCAACTAATTTTGTTAACACACACCTGTGGGTGGGCCAGGTGCAACTAGTTTGTGACCTCTGCAGATTTTCACCTTAGTACAATTCTTCACTTAAAAATGGTTCAGCTAAAATTTTTTTTGACTTTGCAGTGGGTTTATCCAGACACAGACTTCATCGTTAGATGAACAAATAATTGAATAATAATTACTCAGAAATAATTGGATTTAGAGGTCAGAAAAAAGTCCTGGAGACTGGGATCGTCAGGAAAGATTTTAAGCTGGGTAGGAGAGAGATTATAGAGGGGGACGGATATAGAAGATGCGTCAAATCTTGGGGTTGAGAGAGTGGTAGGTTTGGAAGATAGTAAACTTTCCTTAGAGGAAGTTTGGAAAGGCAAGTGCAAGAGGTGCTGCTGGTCAGGGGACTACACTTTGAGAACCACTTCCTAGAGTATGGTGAACTTTCGGAGGAATTTGAGTAGGAGGGTAAGGAGACCACATTTGTCTTTCAGGATGAGTCTTGCTGCGAAGTCTGAAAGGAGAACTGAGGAGGGAGAAAGGAGGACGGTTTCTTAGAGGTGTTTGGTACCTGATTGGTGCCAGGCCCTGTCCCAGGCTTTCTCGTGCATACTGTCTCATTTCATACTCACCATGACCCTGATAGGTAGACCTTAATGTTTTTATTTTGTAGGTGAAGGAACTTTGAGAATATGAGAAATGACCCGAGTACCATAGTTGGTCTCAGAGCTTCCTAATTCAAATCTGGATTTGAAATAGGGTGGTCTCAGTGGGAATGTATCAAAACATTTAATGGTCATGGAATTTAGAAAAATAGAGACTTCTCAAGCAAATTTAAACCCAAAAGTAGAAATTAGGAAATCTGAATCTTACTGGAAAAGTGATCAAAGTTAAAGTGGACAGAGAACTTTAGGGAATCCCTGCATGAATTTGGTATGCATTATTACTCTTAAATCATGATGACCTATTTAAACCTATTTAAAAGTTGCCTATTTAAAAAGTCATTCTGCTCAACAAAATTTTTCTGAAATTTGAAAAAGAGATAGTAAAGCTTTCTGTGGGGGATGGTGGGATATGGTAAACAGATTAACAGCATTTGACAGCTTATCTTCACATCGAAAGTGGTTAGCATTGAGGAATGGAAACACATGGTACAACACTGCATTGCCTGTATGAATTGTGCTGTGCTGCAGACATTGATCTCATGTATTGATTTTGGAAATTATGCTTTTTTTTTTTTTGCCAGAGTGGTTATTGAAATTGAGAATATTCATTCGATCAATTTCAAGACAAATGTCTCAAGTCAGACTGGCTTCTGCTGAGCAAATTTTTAATGAAGGAAAATATCCATATATTGAAATCAGTTTAAAAAGAAAGTCCTTAAAATATATATATATATATATATATATATATATATATATATATATATATAATTACTGTAAAATCTAGAAAAAAATGTACATTTTAAAAACATCAATTAACCAAGTAATCACTATAGTGAATATATGCAGAATTATGGCATATATAATCATTAATTCTGAATCACTCAGAATACATTCAGAATCACTTCTGAATATATGCAGAATTATGGCATATATTCATTAATTCTGTGAGCAAATAATTGTCCTAGAAATACAAAAATAACCATCATGGTTTGGCTATGTCCCTCCCCAAATCTCACCTTGAATTATAACTCCCACAGCCCCCATGTGTCATAGGAGGAGCCTGGTGGGAGGGGACTGAATTATGGGGATGGGTCCTTCCTGTGCTGTTCTTGTGATAGTGAATGAGTCTCGTGAGAGCTAATGGTTTTAAAAAGGGAGTTTCCCTGCACAAGCTCTCTCTTTGCCTGCTGCCATCCATGTAAGACGTGACTGGCTCCTTTTTGCCTTCTGCCATGATTGTGAGGCTTCCTCAGCCATGTGGAACTGTAAGTCCATTAAACCCTTTTTCCTGTATAAATTACCCAGTGTATGGTAGGTCTTTATCAGCAGGATTAATATACTAGGTATGGCATACTTTGAGGTATCTTACTGAATCTTGTAAAGCTGGGGAATTTCTCTTGTGTTTTGGTAGTGCTTAGCTTACAAATTGTAGGATGAAGCCATATTCCCAAGAATCATGAAAATTAGCTGAAACATTTTGATTTGGGATTTTTTGTTTTGTTTTGTTTTTGTTTTTTTTTTACTGTTATGCTTTAATGGAGGCAGATACAAAATTCATCAATGCAAAAGAATGTTTTACATGCTCATTAACCTAGTGGTTAATGTAAATTATATTTTGGCAATGTAAAATACAGTGTGTTTGGCCTCAGAAAGGAACTACAGAGCTGCAACTGAAGATAACTGGAAAGGCTGCTTAAATTGTCTTTGCATACCACCTTTATTATAATAGTTCTAAATGATATCTAGGGAGGGAATTAAAAAATAATACAAAGCTCTTTCTAGCTGTGGTTCAGAGAACTCTAGTGAAGCTGTTTGGCAATGACATTGTGGGACCATGAAGTTTCTCCAGAAGTATTTCCAATAACAAGCAGTTAAGAACCTTGATAGTTTCAAAGTTTGGAAAGCACCTAAGATATCTTAGAGAATTTAAAAACATTATAAACCCCACTTCTTTCCTACAGAGACATTTTAAAGCATGGACATAACTTTAAGGAGATTGGGAAAATATGAGTAGTTTTCATAAAGTTTCAATGAATACCCCAAGGCACAAGTGTTGAAAACACTTGTTTTCAGCTATTCACTAAAATGTCACTTTTGGAGTTACAGGTAATGCTGTACTTGCAGTGAGAGGATTACTTTATCCCTAGTTAAAAGCATCAGGTGTCAAGCTTGGCTTCTATTTACACTGGATGCACCAATAATCCCTATGATAGTGAATGATTCAAGTACTGCACTACATTTCCAACATGTATTTGCCTATTTGCTTAGTCGGTACTAGGGTTGTTTTAAAACCCATAGATTTGTAGAGTATTTTAAAAGTCTAGAACTACCTCAAAAATAGTCTTGAAATGATACCAGGCTCTAAAAGAGCTCACTGGATATTTTAATAACATTTACAGAAAGAAAGACAAAATTTGCGGTAGCTGAGTTTCTTTCAAGTGAAGAGTAATAATGTAGAACATGTAGGCTAAAATATTTGATAATTAATGTCAAAAATTGCCAAGATTATTAATATATATTTTGATAATCACTATTGACCAGGTTAATTTTTTGTGCAAAATACACTCTATATTAATAGAACAGGAAAATCATTATTTCAGACCACTAACAGAAGAAAACCCACAGCAAGAGAAGCACCTATAGGGCAATTAATTGTTCAGGAAGTTTACTAGCTTTAGAATACATCATTACACTTCAATTACAGAAATATTTCATTTTTAGAACTAGAGTGTTTTAATGTACTTTCAGTACCGACTCAATCTAAGGAGCCTTGGAGGCTTGTGAAAAAGATGTATCCACAAAGATGCTGCATTTCTAGTGTGGGGGTAAATTAATACTTCTGTAAGAAAGAAGGAACTGAATCACTTCAGCATCAATAAACAACATTTTTCTTTCAAACAGCAACTCATAATCTGGTGACTCACTTTGTTTTACTAGTTCAAAATTAGGCAGGAGAAGAACTAAGCTAACTGATCAGACCCAGAAACGCAATCATGCAGCTCATGATGTGTGATAATTGGCAGAAAGGCTGCTCAACTCTTGTCCATCTTTCACATCTGTATAGGAGTTCAGTATAACCACTTGTCTTTATCAACTTTAAGCTGCATACAGGCCGAGAGATCACAAACTGCAGGGAGGTCGTAACAGTTTGAGGGGAAGTTATGTTCTTCCTATAGAGGTGAATCAAGTAATACTTCCTGGGCCTTCTTTCAAAGCAGACATTTGTCTTCTCCAGAGGGTAACT